TGGCTGGTGTTCTGTACGGGACGGTGCTCTGTGCCTCTGAACGCTCACGTCTCTTCCCTCTGTTGAAACGCCCTTCGCTCCTCTCAAAGGTCCAACCTGCCTGTCCCTGCAAGGCTGAGCCCCGGTGCTAGTGGCTCCCCAACCCAAATCCTCCCCGTTTCCACGGAGCTCTGCTCAATGTCATGGGACAGCCTGGGTGGGAGGGGAGTTTGCGGGAGAATGGATACCTGTATGGGTATGGCTGAGTCCCTTCCCAGTTCACCTGAAACTATCACAACACTGTGTGTTAATTGGCTATATCCCAATACAAAATAAAAGGTTAAAAAAAAGCAACAGAAAAGCAAATCCTACCCCCCTTCTCTGGACTTGAGGTTAATTGCCTGCAGTGGGTTGAATTGTGGTCCCTCCCCCAGCAGTCTAAGTCCTAACCCCCTGTACCTGTGCAGGTGACCTCGTACAGAAACAGTCTCTGCAAATGTAACTCAGGTAAGGATTTTGGAGGTGAGATCACCCCAGAGTAGGGTGGGCCCTAAATCCAGTGAAGGGCGTCCTCATAAAAGAGGACCTGTGAGGACGGAGGCAGAGGCTGAATTCATGCCTGGAACACCAAGGACCGCCCGCGTCCCCAGAGTCAGGAGGGCAGCTGGAGCGGCTCTTCCTGAGTCTGCAGATGCAGTCAACCCTGCCGATGCTGCAGCTTTGGACTCTGACCTCCAGAACAGCGAGAAAATAAATATCTGTTGTTTCAAGCCATCTGGTCTGTGCCGATCGGTAACTGCAGCCTCAGGAAACCAAGATGCGCCCACCATCCCATCTGACTCTTTCTTTGTTGTTGTTCAGTCACTAAGTCACGTCCAACTCTTTGCAACCCCATGGATGGCAGCATGCTTCCTTGTCCTTCACTATCTCCTGGAATTTGCTCAAACTTAGGTCCATTGAATTGGTGATGCCGTCCAACCATCTCTTCCTCTGTCGTCCCCTTCTTCATTTGGCTTCAATCCTTCCCAGCATCAGGGTCTTTTCCAGTAAGCCAGCTCTTAGTATCAGGTGTCTAAAGTATTGGAGCTTCAGCTTCAGCATCAGTCCTTCCAATGAATATTCAGGACTGATTCCCTTTAGGATGGACTGGTTTGTGATCTCTTTGCTGTTCAAGGGACTCTCAAGAGTCTTCTCCAACACCACAGTTCAAAAGCATCAATTTGTCAGCACTCAGCTTTCTTTATGGCCCAACTCTCAAATCCATACATGACTACTGGAAAAACCATAACTTTGACTAGACAGACCTTTGTTGACCAAGTGATGTCTCTACTTTTTAATTCGCTGTCTAGGTTTTCTAGGATTCCTTCTTGAGACCCATCCATTGGCCTCCATGTTTCACCTCTCATATCCATGGCTGTGTTCTCCTACCAGATCCAGCTTGATTATCCCTGGGTGTCTGGGTGTGCCTCCAGTAGAGTTGGGGCAGTGTGTGTGAGGGTATGAGCAAAGAGCAACTCACACTCCTGAAGGGACCAGCACGGCGTGCAGCAAAGCCTAGCCTCCGTGGCTGCTCATCCCCCCCATGGCAGGGGGACAGCCCCATTCTGTCCCAGCCCTGAGGACTCTGTTGCTTCAGGACTTTGGGGTGTCCTCACCCCGTCTCTCTGGTCCACGCCAGGCAAGCACTGGGTGAGGAGCACCTTCCTGGTGCTCCCCGTCATCCTCACTGTCAACTCGACCCACCACTCGGGTAATCTCACCAGGGCCTGACTTCACCAGGCTTATAGCTCCCTGGGGTCAGAGGTCACACCTTATCCACCTGTGAATTTCCTTATCCTGGTACTGATGACATATTGACAGTCACTGTGTATCTTCTAATGCCCTTCAGGATTTGGTCTCCAGTCATTTTGTCTTATCTGTTTGTTTGGCCTGCCCTGTCCCCCATCACCTTTCCCACTGCAGACCCTCAGCCCTTAGAAGGAGCCACTCTGCCAACACCTTGATCTTGACCTTCAAGCCTCCAGAACTGTGCAACAGTAGCTCCCTGTTGTTTGAGCCCTGCAGTCTGGGGCACTTTGTTACACAGCCGGAGCTGACCAGTACATCCCCGTAGTTCAGATCGCTCACCCTCTCCCTTTGTATATGCTGTTTTCTTTGGTCAGAATGTCCCTCTATATTACTGGTGTGAAATCCTTGACTTTTGCTAAGCATAACTATGTGGCAGGCTCTGGGCGAGGAGGTTTGCGGGTATTTCCTCATTTAATTTTCATAACAGCATGGTATCTGGAAACTTCCTTTTCATAAAAAGAAGCATTGCATATGCAGGTTGACCCACAGGGGTGTTATATCAATAAATAGAGTTCTTCTGGGCAAACGAAAGACAGCCGTGTAAGATTTCATAATATCCTGGTGACCACACTGCAGGAGCTGGTCAAAGCGCATGTCCATCCTCGGGCACCTAGTCCAGTGTGACACAGAGGACCTCATGGTCACCTGACAGAGGATGGCATGGGACTTCCAACGTTAGTAAGAGAAACGGTTTTGTGCATGACTTAGAGGAAGTTTCTGGAAAAAGAAAATCCGCCTGTGAAGCCCGGTTTGAAAGACTCTTACCTCATCTGAGACTCGGGCTTATGTGTCAGAAGGGAAGTGTGTGTCAAGTGGTTACAACCGAGCTGGGCACGCAGTGAGCGCTAAGTAATTGCTGGCTGTTAGTCTTCTTCGAAGACCCCTCCCAAGGTTGTGCACCAGAAACATTAACTTTGACTCCTACCTTATACATGTGAGCTGCTCCTATAAAGTTTATAGGGCCACAGTTACCTCCTGCAAGCATAAAACATAAACCACTTTTCTAGAGGACTGTAGCAAGTATAGGAGGCTGACGTAACACCAGCCATTTCCTGCCTAAGCCCCGAGCCTCTGGCTACAGAGCTGGCAGGACCCAGTTCCCTGACAGAGGTGCTCAGTGAGCGTCTCTGTCCTTACGTGCCCCTACTTTCTAGGTGTAAACAGTCCCTTCCAAGGCTGCAAAGGGAACCCTCTTCTCGACCCCTTTGGCACGTGTGTACCTGTTCTATATCACACAACCAAACTCCACACTGGGCCACTAAGTGGTTTGCCAGAACAAGCTGAAACAAGTAGGGAGGTTTGTTAGAAAGTTTCTGGAGTCACCCCCGAGTGGCTGAGATCAGACGCCTTGAGAAATGATTCCAATCTTATCAACCATCCTGGCAACGAAGCCCATATTCCCTGACTCAGATTTTCCCCACCGAGAAAAAACAGCGAGAGGCTGGCGTAGGTATCCACGTGCCTGCCGAGTGTGCAGGATGTCATCTGAGCAGAATCATCTCTCAATCCTCCAAACTCCGTGTGTGGCAACCCCTTCCCATCCTCACAATTCCGTCCAGCAGCTAAGGTCACCTCCTGTCCAGGTGAGGGAACTGAGGCTGGGGAATGTGGGAGGATCAGCCATGGAAAATAGGCAGGAAAAGACTGGCCCGGGATCCTAGCCTAGGTCTCCTCGGCTTCAGATTCCAGCCCCACGGAGCTTCTTGGGCTTCCCAAGTGGTGCGAGTGGTAAAGTACCTGCCTGCCCATGCAGGAGACGGTAACAGACGCAGGTTCGATCCCTGGGTCTGGAAGATCCTCTGGAGGAGGAAATGGCAACCTGCTCCAGTATTCTTGCCTGGATCATCCCCATGGACATAGCATCCTGGGGGGCTACCGTCCACGGGGTCGCAGAGTCGGACACGACGGAAGCGACGGAGCACACGGGCAGACTTCTCAGGCCGGCGAACACGAGTCAGAACCCCAGTCAGAACCTGAGTCAGGCACCGTCCAGACAAGGAAGGACAAGACTGATGGTGAGCACTGAGGGTCCCACACACACACTCTCTCCAGCTGTCCGGAGTTCCTTGTTCGAAATCTGGTTTTGGTGTGGGTGCGTATAAAGCCTGAGACTTTACTTACCCCATAGGCCCTGAGTGCTATTCGCCTGGGTCTCTAAGTCAGATGGTTCCTGCCAGCCAACCGAGGGCGCAGTTGAGTTCGGATGGTGAGCACAGATGAAGATGGTGTCGAGGAATCCCCGGGGAAGAGCAGGACGATTCAGTTCACTTCAACACCAACTTTTTGAGTGATATCATGTGCCAGGCGCAGTGGCCAACAGCAAACCCTGGGCTGGGCTACCTGATTCCGTGCAGGGTGATAATTCAAGGACACCCAGCCCTGCATGTAGATTGTGAGGGTCAACGGAGCAAAGAATGTGGGAGACAAAGTGGACCTTTTCTAGGTTACCTTCTAGTCCCACAGGAAGGAATGAGCCTTGCCCTTCCTGAGGCTTCAGTCTCTTGGACACAGCTGACGTGGACACTCATTCCCAGTGCCAAGAAGGAGCAGTTATAATAATGCTTATCTTTGTATCATCATTCTTGCAGCGCTTTTATATATGTGAGAATCCCGTGACGCATAAAGGCAATTGGAGGGGATGGCGTGTAATAAGGAAATTAACACCCCCATCAACCCTGCTGTGAGCAGAAAACTAAGGTTGCTCTGAGTCTTCTCATGAAAGACTGGGACAGCAAGCCGCTTTTGTTCCCGCACCGAACCTCCTATGTGATACTCTTACTCATGGGGTTCCCGGCTCACAAACGTGCTTTAAGGAAAAGAAGTACTATTATTTGTGTAATAAATCTTTTTGAGGGAAATAAACCTAACTGGTAGCCTGAGTCCTCGAATCGGTAGTGAAAGACCAGCACTCAGCTGTCTCTCTTCCTTTCTCATCTTTGCTCACAACCTACTTATTTCTTTAAAAGCAACTGATTTGGATGAAATGCAGGAAAAAGCCAAACAGACTCTGAGGCAGCCCGCTGCTAATAATAATGTAGATCCCCCTGCTTGCTCAAGGAGGGGACAAATTTTCACGTTCTGATTTGCTGTAACAGCTGTGAGTTTATTAAAGGACCAGGCCTTCCTGTGGATCTTAGGGTTGAAAACCTGCTGCTGAACTTGGTGGTACTTACGGAAACTCAGTGACACAAGGCTTTGAGGCCATCGTAAAGAAGATGGTGTTTCCTCCCCTGGGGGTGAGGCGGGCAGCCTCATCTTTGTCCAGCTCTTCCTCGCTGTCACAGGAGACCACCGCCAGCTCAGACAGCGGCAGCTTCTGTTCGAATCTGTAGCTCATGGAAGACCTGGATAAAAGCAAGTGAGAATCTGGTTTGTCTTCTCTGTTTGACTCGGGAGTGCTACTGTGAACACGCGCCAGGTTAAGCCAGCGGCCTCGTAAGACCTGAGCATCCCCAGGTCAGAGGTGAGGTCCTCTTGCTTTCTTTGCTGTCCATCCCTGTCATTCGGTTAGCTGTCCATCCAGTATCCAGACAGTACTCAGAAAGAAAGATTGAGCACTAGCAAAACTTTCTGTGGGTCATTTCTGAGGAAGCAGCTGTCAGCGGGTCTGATTCGACAAGGTGTCCACTGGCACAAATGCCTTGCGATTCCCCCAGGTCCCCAGTTCCAAGCGGAGACTAGGTCTGTGCTGGAGGTTTGGCACAGAAGCAGAGATACAGTGTCAGTAGAGTTGAGTGGGTGCCAACCCCATCTCAACCCCCAACTCATACAATGACATTCTCAGTGGCCAAGGGTTTTGATCAATAAAAGCCATAATAGATGGGACTTTTGTCTTCATTGTTTTCTGTGGCAAGTGCCAAAAGTCAGCAGGACATGTAAAAGGACATTTCCTCTTGCTTCGTTTTAAGAGATTCCCAGCTTTATTGTAAGAATAAATAAAAAGCACCATATGGTAGATCAAAAGAAAAGCTTAAGGCCAGGCAGATAGTAGGCACTTATTAATGAAAAGAAAAAATTTAAAAAAAGAATTGGAATTTAGCAGGCACTTTGAAGGATGAATAAAGTACGGCTTAGTGTTGAGACATTCCCTCCTGACAAGAACAAACTTGAAAGTCTCCCCTTCAATCTTAGTGGCCACCCCATGTACCACAACATCGTTATTGTCAGGCAGGGGAGAAAAGACATTCTGGACATGCAGGAAACATTCACCCTAAAAGCAAGATACGTCTGGACTTCTGGACCCTTATCAAGCTCTTTTTTTCTATGAAGCTCCTAACTGCAATTCACCAGCAGAACTGGGGGCAGAAAAGAACCATGGCTTTGGCAGGGAGGGATGAAGCTGAGAGCCAAGGGTGGGGAGTGGTCTTCACCACTCCTGATTTAGGAGAGGAGGACCACTTTATCTGGATGTAGCTCTCAACTGAATATAAGAATAATAGCCAGTGCAAAACACGGGCCCATAAATATCACTTAACCTCAGCATATTTTCAAAACATTTTAAGCATCTCAGAGGTACAGGGCAGTGCTAACACAGAACAGCAAACTTTGATGATAGCAGGCGTGGGGATGGCTTCTGATTGGTGGGGAGGGAGAGGTGGATGGCAGGGGAGAGGGTAGGAACAAGGTCACTGTAGCAATTCTTTCATTTTTCCAGAGATTAACACAAGGCCTTGTGCTGGCCATCTGGACAAAGTCCAGTTACTCTGTAGGGCAGGCTGACCTGTCAGTCTTAAATATATATATTTGTAACAACAATTTTCTGCTTGAAATAATAAACAAGAACTACGGTTGCATTTAGTTCCCGTCTCTCACATTGCCACCAGTGTACCTCTGGTTATCCGCATGCAGAGATTTAGGGCAGGAGGCTGACAGCACCCTCAGGTCCCAAGGAAGATGCTGCCCTACATTTTTCTGTGATTTTTTTTTTTAAATCATCGTGTAAATTCATTCTCCTTAAAGCTGTCACCCTCACTGGGAGATCACAGACTGATCTTGGGGAGAAAACAGACATTGACGCCTTCCTCCTAAACCTATGTTTGTGAGAGCTGGAGCACACAAAGGACCAGACTTTGATATAACGGCTGTCTTCAGCATCTTCTCCCCCAGCATGTTTTTGTTGCCAAGGAAGATTGTCTTGGCATGCTCTTTGCAAGAAGCACAGGACTTCCCAGGTGGCGCTAGTGGTAAAGAACCTGCCTGCCAATGCAGGAGACGTGAAAAGATGCGGGTTCGGTCCCTGGGTCTGGAAGATCCCCTGGAGGAGGGCAAGGCAGTCCACTCCAGTATTCTTGCGTGGAGAATCCCATGGACAGAGGAGCCTGGCGGGCTACAGTCCATGGGGTCGCAAAGAGTCAGACACAACTGAAGTGACTTAGCACGCACTGCAAGAAGCGCATCTCTGGCCTGTCAGCAAGACACGCTGAGACAGCACTCACACTCCAGAGACGGCCTGATGCCTCTATGACTTGAAACTTTGAAAGATATGCTGTCAACACCTGCTAGCTGCTCTCCCAGCTCCTGCTTTACCCCCAGCCCGTGTTTTCCGATTTGTTCCAATGGAGGCAGCCTGGCTCATTTTGTGTTTGTCTGCCTCGTTTTGGCTTCCCTGTAGGTGACTCTGCAAACTACAAGCCAAATATGTGACTTCTCCCTTTTCTACAAACTCAGTTGACAGCAGGGCCCAAGGACACATTGACCCAGCAAGATGTTACACTTTCTGTTCACACGAGGGAAAATGCAAATCAAGAAATGGTCAATGTCTTTTTCTCCTGGGAGACAGAGTGGGGTGTTTAATCCCCACCAAATCAGCCCTTGGCTTTTTTTTTTTTTTGGACTTTGTTTATATTTTTGCCAAGAGAGGAGATGAAAACATAAAGTGTGAAATATGATTACAAAGTAGTGACATGGGTGTCAGAAGCGACCTAGGAGACTACCATCTTGTTTGTGGCTATACGTGCCATGTGGTTGTTAAAGCAATGGAGTCCAATGTGTGAAGTGTCCCCAGGGGACCTGCTGAATTGGCACTTGGGATGGCTGTCTGACCAGTGGGGGTGCCAGATGCCACAGAACCAAAAGGAAAAGAATTGTCAAAAGCCAGCTCTAGGTCTCTGCCCCTGGTTCCTGGCACACAGCTCCTGACATCTTTGTAATTTCTTAAGTGCTAAGAGCATTTAGGAGAATATTGTAATTTTGAGTCTCTGATCCTGACTCCTGACAGAGTTCCTTGGAATTTCTTGGGTGACAAGAATGTCTTTTCGTTTTCAAGAAGTCACTCTGGGTGGACTCTAGGATAGCTTCTGGGGATATTGGTCACCAGAAGGACCAAGCCGTAATCAGAAACACAGAGCTTTTGGGCTCATGCCTTCATCCTCTGAGAAGGGGAGGAAGATGGAGCTTGAGTTAGTGATTGATCATGCCTATATGATGAAGCCTCCACAAAACCCTCAAAAATATGGTGTCTGGAAAGTTTACAGGTTGGTGACCACACCCGCAAGCTGGGAGGATGGTGCATCCCAACCCCACGGAGATAGATGCTTCTGTGCTCAGGACTCGTTTGGACCTCGTCCCGTGGACCTCCTCACCTGTGCATGTGTGTGCTTAGTCATGTCCAACTCTTTGCAACCCAGGCTCCTCTGTCCATGGGATTCTCCAGGCAAGAATACTGGAGTGGGTTGCTATTTCCTCCTCCATGGGATCTTCCTGACCCAGAGATCAAACCCGCATCTCCTTTGTCTCCTGCATTGCAGGTGAATTCTTTACCCACTGAGCTATCGGCAAAGTCCCTTTCTCACAACCTTTATTAGATAATAAGTTGATGAATGTAAATAACTTCCTTGGGTTCTGTGAGTTGTTATAGCAAATGACTGAACCCAAGGAGGGGTTGTTGGAACCCAGATTTAAAGCACAGGTGACAACCCGGGATTTGTGACTGGCATCTGAAGTCGGGGGGCCAGTTTGCGGAACTGAGTCTTTAATCTGTGGTTCAGTCGCTAAGTCGGGTCTGACTCTGCAACCCCATGGACTGTAGCCTGCCAGGCTCCTGTGTCCATGGGATGCTCCATGCAAGAATACTGGAGTGAGTCATTTCCTTCTCCAGGGGATCTTCCTGACCCAGGGATCAAACCCAGGTCTTCTGCATTGCAGGCAGAGATTCTTTGCTGACTGAGCTTTAGTCTGCACTAATTCCAGTTAGTGTCAGGATTGAAGTGAACTGTAGGTGCCCAGCTGGTGTAAAAACTCCACACATCAGATGTCAGAAGTATCATGTGGTAGCCCCATTACCACTGCCAGGCTGGGCTGGGTCAGTCATGAGAGGAAATTTGTGTGCTCAACACCATGTGGGTGGGGGGAGCTCTATTTGGAACCCAGAACATTTGGAGTTGTTCTTTAGTACTTTTTTATGTCCAGCGGAAAACTATAGCAACTAAAAAAAAGAGAGAGAGAGGGCAGTGAGGATCCAGAGACCCCTTTGGAATGAAGGGCTGAGTCACTGCGCCAGATAGAGGACTCCAACCAGCTGAAGCCTGAAGGAAGCCTCGCTGAGGCTGCAGGAAGCACAGAAGGAGCTGTAGGGGAAGGAGGTTAAGTGTCTCAGCCAGTTGCAGGGGGGGGGTGCTGTTGGAAATATGTCTATTTTTTATGTGCTCCTTCTGCGTGCATGTGTGTGCATATGCTAACATATTCCTTCTTATCTGTCCTTCTCTTTGAACGGTGCTATTGGAAACCAACTTTACAATTCAGTCTTCAGGTAACGTGATATTTGGGCGGGACTGTGACTGCATTTGAGGAATAACTACAGCTCTTGTCTGCATCTTATAACTCTGCTTCTTTTGCTCCTCCCTTCCTGGCTGATGCTGAATGGACCAAATTTTCTTTTACTTCCTTATTTCCCTGTGTAAGTGTTTGGAAAGCATACATTAAAAAATTATCTTGGCCATCATCCACTACTTTTTAAAATTTAAACTTGACCTTATGTTTTTCTAAAGAAATCTAGAGATGATTGGTATGTCTGTTCTTTTCTTGAACAAGTCAAGAATGACTTAACATCTGAGCTTCTCTTCCATCTTTTATGATATTATCATGTATTATACAGGGTCCCTCTTGATTTTAGTTTCACACACTCAGTTAGCTATTATAATTATCTGTACCAGTCAGTAACTATTTAGACTCAACAGTGCATTTGACGGATTTCTTTGGCCACTATTGTGTTTTGGGAGCTCCATCTTTCCTCTTGGATTCAATATCCTTCTTGCTGAAGTCTGCTGCTGCTGCTGCTGAGTCGCTTCAGTCGTGTCCGACTCTGTGCGACCCCATAGACGGCAGCCCACCAGGCTCCCCTATCCCT